CTTGCCCTGCCACTCAGCCTGGAGCTTCCCCCTGCACCCCGGGGTGTTTTGAGCAGGTGTCCATCCCAATAACCAAGGGGTGACACCCTGTGGGGATGTTCCTGGGTAAGGAGTGTTCTGCTTGGCTCCGGGGGAAGGAAAGGAGCAGGTGATTCCTCAAAATGACTGAGATTCCTCCTGCTACTGCAACTCAGTGAGCAACAGGGTAACAATGTGATTTTTCTGAAATACCAGAAAATCCTGCCAATGATTGTCTGACATCTGCCCAGTTCCAGCACGTCTTAATGTGAGGAAAAGGGTTGGAAGAGGATTCCAGGAATGACTTGGATAAGGGGCATTTAAAAGTAGATGAGGCTGATGTCTTCTATAATAGCATCATTCTGCTTCCATCTCTTTCTCCCAGCATGGTCACCTGGCTGTGGGGAGGATTTAGGCTCCTCAAAACTCTCCTAGGACCTTTGAGTACTTATGTGGGTGAAAATGGTGAACACACTGGGCAGGATGGATTAAACTGTGCCATGGGAAGTGAGAACTGGCAGCAGAGAGGAGGACAACATGGAGGAACTGGAATTTCTGAGTGTTAATGATGCTTGTTGTACATCAGCTCTTTAGCGGGGTGGGTAGTATGGACAAGAAGGGAAGGATCCCACCTCACTGTGCAATGGAAGTGCATGTGGGATGTGGTTTGTGGGTGCTGATGGGAGCAGGGAGCATTGATGGACCTGCAAGGAGCCCAGTGCCACGTGTGTCTATTGTAACCTTGATTTCAGGGAGGGACAGGCAGTGTGGTATGGGGGGAAAGGGGGTGCTAGGCAGTGAGAAGGGTGTCAGGGTGGGCGAGGAATGAGGATGGAGGGGAGGATGTGGGGCACAGCGGAATTAGGATGGCAAGGGGGATGGACAGAATAAAGGATGGGTGGCAAACAATGGAGATGGCAACACAGAATCCCAGACTGGTTTGGGTTGGGAGGAACCTTAAAGCTCATCCAGTCCCACCCCACTGCAAGGGACACAAAGGCAAGGGACACCTCCCACCAGCCCAGGCTGCTCCAAGCCCCATCCAACCTGCCCTTCAACACTGCCAGGGATGGGGCAACCACAGCTTCTCTGGGCAACCTGGGCCAGGGTCTCACCACCCTCGCAGCAAATTTCCTCCTAATGTTTAACCTCAATCTCCCTCTTCCAGTTTAAAACCTTTCCCCCTCATCCCATCCCTCCCTGCCCTTGTCCCAAGTCCCTCCCCAGGTTTCCTGGAGCCCCTTCAGGAACTGAAGATACTCAGTGCAATGTGGGGCTTTGGCTCCTGGACATGAAGTCCTGAATGTCCTGTCAGCAGTGGGATGGTGGTGGGTCAGACCTGCTGCAGGGTGGGTTCTCCCTGTGATGCCCAGCTGGGGGGTGGGAGGGCTGGTTCTTTGGGACATTAGCCCCAGAAAAGCCTGGGTGAGCCTGGGGAAGGAGGAAGCAATTTTGCCAGTAAGTAAAGGTGCTTTAACAGCTTAGGGGGGTTGTGCTGCTTTTGTTTGCCTTACAAAGGGAGTTCTTTGCATGCAGGATCTTTCCACATCTAGAGAAAAGACAGTGATTGAATGGAGAGGTATGAGGAGCCACAAAATATTAGATGCTAGGGGTGTGACAGCAAGGAGAAGGGAGAAAAGCAGCAATACAAGTGAGATGAGGAAGGCCAGTGCTGTGCAGTTGGTAATTTTACTGTTAGGGCAGCCAGAAGCATCGACATGGCAGCAGCTTAAATGCTGGGGTGATGCTTGTACAAGGGGAACAAGGTCAGTCTGAGTGCTGCAACCTGCCCTTGTTCTTCTGTTCAAGGCGCTTGGCCAGCTCTGGTGGCTTCAATGTGCTTGCTGCCTGCTTGAGAAGTTTCCATGGGTCTCTGCTGCTTGGGGGGGTGCAGGGGCACAGGCTGGGTGCAGGGGCTCTGATGCTTCCTTTTCCCTCTGTTCCCGTGCAGGACACAGGCAGAAATGGCCCACACGTGTCGTGGGACCATCAACCTGTCCACGGCCCACATCGACACGGAGGACTCGTGTAACATTGTGCTTTCCAACGGGGGAAGGACCTACCACTTGAAGGCCAACTCAGAAGTGGAGAGGCAGCGCTGGGTGACAGCCCTGGAGCTGGCCAAAGCCAAGGCCATCCGCATGAGGAACAACCAGTCAGGTAGGGCGCGTCTCGGCATGCAGCTGGATCCTTCTGGAAACCTCCTCACCAAGGAGCTCTTCTGTGCTTGCTAAATCGTGCAGAAAGCCCTGGCAGATCCTATTTCACAGGCAGTTAAAATGAGCGGGTGGTTCCCAGGGACACATGGGGTTTTCAACAATACTTTGTGCACCAAATGTCATCTCATCTGGTCGTGCAGCGTTGAGCAGGTCTTGAAAAGCCCTGGGAATGGCTGTGGATTGGAGAGAGCCAGTGAAAATGAAGTGATGATGCTGCTTCTGGAAGGCAAAGACGTGTGTGCTCTTCTCCGGGAGACTTGGGGTTGGTCTGTGAGGACGGGGAGTGCTGGGAGAGGCTCTCCAAGAGTCACCAGTTCACCCCGCAGAGCCAGAGCTGTGCCTTTCCATTCACCCAGAGCTCAGGGTAGTTTGATGGATGAATGATATGCATTTAGCTGAGTTCCCTTCTCCCCCATGGGGTGCTATTTATTGGTGTACATGTGGGACAGCTGCATTATGTGAAGCTGTCACATCCCCCTGCCTGTCACACAGCTCCTCCTTGGAGTGTCATTTTTACTGCTCCCTGGTGTAATGGATCGTTAGGTGCTAAACCAACAAAATATTTCAGTGTTCATAACTCTTCCGGGATTAATGTTTGGTTTTCTTCCACAAACAAGCATGGCTTAAGGTTGCAGAATACCAAGCCCATGGCTGTGTTAAAAAGCTGGCCACCCCTTCTGGCCATCAGGCCCTGGGGTGGGGTGGGGGCTGCTGGCTGTGCTGCCGCCAGGGTGTTTGTCTTCACATCAAAATAGCAAATGCAGAGACTTCCTGTCCTAAGGCTCTGGAGCTGCTGAGTTCCCAACTTCAGCCAGCTCAGGCTGTGCTGTCAGGGCACAGGGTGGCAGCAGGGCTGGCTCAGCTGTTTGTGGCAACGCTGAGATCCAGGCCAGGGTGCTGACACCACCAGAACAAACTCCTGGTGTTCCAAACTATCCCCTGGACTGAGAGGTTGAAACTCTCTAAATGAGCACAGAATCCTTCTGCTGTGGGGGTAGTGCTGGGGACATTGCTGAATTACTTCACACTGTAATTTTCACCTGGCTGATGGTGTTTTGACCCAATTAGAGATCTTTTAATTAAGATAAAGGATGGATGTGTGTTAGGTTTGACTGTTTTGCTTGAATTGAAAGAAGACTCCTAGTGTTGTGTCCCTGTGAGCACTGGGCATTGCACAGAGCCTGGGGTGGGTGTTCATAAGCAGAGGGAGCTGGCTCTGGGTTGCTGAGCAAGTCCCTAGCTCCTGCAGGTCTGCTCGCCTGGGAGGTCTTCAGGGTTGACTCCTCTTATCCTGAGTGATCCCCAAAACCCTCGTGTTGCCCAGGGCTGCTCCACAGACCCCCCCGTTGAAGCGTTGTGGCTGGTGGGTGCAAAGGGTGGTGAGCAGCTGTATGGATTCATGCAGACAAGGAGGGAGCATTGATGGATCTGGGAGCCCAGAGACAGTGAGAACGTTGCAGGGGGCAGGTGAGGAGGATGGAGAAGCAGGTTTGTGTCTAATGGTGCCGGCCTTTCTGGGGAAGGACACAAGGAGATCTCCATTCATGGGCCCTGCCTGCAGCCCTGCCCACTGCAGGGGGACGTGGCAGGAGCCCATCCTTGGCATTTTCATGGGGACCCAGGAACTTGGGGGCTCCGGTGGAGGTGGCACATCTGGGGAGGAGATGGCTGGGTTAGAGTCACTGCTTCTGAGGTGTCTCCAGCTGCTGAGTGCTGGGGCAGTCTTGTGTCTGAAGCAGCTTTTTGGCTCTGTATGACTGAGCGGGTGAGGAGCACCCGGGAGAGGGAAGGGCTGTCCTTTCTTCCTGGTGCTTTGAGGCCCTTTGGAGTCCTTCTCTCCTTGCATCCAAATAGGAGCAGTGTGTTTGTGTGGAATTATTAAAAAAAAAAAAAAAAGAAAAAAGCTTGACCTCTTTTTGGGAATGTTTTAACAATGAGCCACACTGAAGTCACTGCTGGACATAGAGTTGTGAGTTGGGGCTCTGCAGTCACTTGTGTTCCTGCAGAGGTCAGTGGTCCCTCACTGCTCTCCTGGCACTGGGGGTTTGGTGGGGAGCAGGGCTGGCAAACCCAGTTAACTCTGCAGATGTCTTGGCTACTGGGAGACTGATGAAAAGAGGCTTTTTGGCCCAGTAGTTCTCTCGAAATAAACGGGCACAAAGGTGTTTTTAACTGGACTGCTGGCCAGCTGGGGCTGTGCACCAAGAGGTGCCGTTCTCACAGGAACGATTTTTGTTTCTATTTTTAAGAAATAGCAAAACCTGTACCCAAACAGAGTATGATATGGGAGACTTTGCTGTTCCCTCCTGTGTGTAACTGGAGGAGCTCTGGTTTCCTACCCAGGGCCGGGACTATTTTGGTAGCGAGCTGGGACACCAGTGACTACTGGTAAGTGTCAGGTGAGAGAGTTTGCTGTCCTCATCCTGCCTCACTGCTGAGAAACCTGCCTAGTGACACCGGGTGGATTAGCTGCAGAAAGTGAGAGTAGGGCTGAGCTGCTGGTTTAACTCTCTCCTCAATCCCCACATGGTGCTTAATTCCTCTAAAATAGATGTGTGGTGTAACACGAGGACAGAAGGGTCCCAGGCCCAGCTGGGTGTCTCTCCTCTAGCCTCTGCTCAGCCAAACCTCCTGTTCCTGTTTCTGTTTGGTTTCATAAAGCATTGGTGAAGTTGTAGTAAACTTAGGTTGCCCACACAGCATGCAGCTGGTCACCCCTTGGGAAGAGCTGGTGTGGACTTGGTGTGGCCCTGAGCTGTTTGTCTGTCCTAAAAATTATAATCTGTCCTGCTCCCTGTCACTCTCTGTTTGTTACTGTCACTTCCTGAATAATTCCTGCCTTCTCCACTAGGTTGGACATGAGGAGGGAATTCTTGGGTGTGAGGGTGGTGAGAGCCTGGCCCAGGTTGCCCAGGGAAGCTGTGGCTGCCCCATCGCTGGCAGTGTTGAAGGGCAGGTTGGATGGGGCTTGGAGCAGCCTGGGCTGGTGGGAGGTGTCCCTGCCCATGCAAGGGGTTGGATCTAGATGATCTTTAAGGTCCCTTAATGAGTCTGGGATTCTAGGATTTGGGGCTGTGTCACCTGAGAGAGAATTTGCTGTGTGACCGACACCCCAGTGTGGCTGTGTGTGGTGTGGGTCTGGGATTTGGGATAACAGAGATTGACTGCTTTGGTTGTCTTGTTGTTCTTACTGCCTTAATTGGTTGATTTCTTCTTGGCAATCAAGGAGTTATTGAAAGGAGCTTTACAGGGATTGTCTGGAGACTCTGAAACAGGAATGTTGAGCGGTGCAAAGAGGGAAGGAGGAGGGGTCAGTACTTGTGTACTAGTGTTAAAAAGGATTCATAATAATTATTCCTCAGTTTTCCCTTTAGTTGCTCTATTGGCAGTGTTGGTTTTGTTGCTTGATGTATTTTCACTGTTATTTTCCTCTTTCCAAGGAAGGGGTTTGTTTGCAAAAGTCATTCTGACTTGGGAATGTGCTACCGCCGGAGCATCTGCAGCCCTCCCAGCCCGCTCTGTCAATTGTCCCCTTGTTGCTTCCCCCTTCCCTCACAACAAGCTCCTGGCCAGGTGGCCTTGTCTTGTGCTTGTGCTCTGGTCATGGTAGGACCAAACAATCCCCATCGTTGTTGTCCTTGTGTCCTTGATGCCAGCTCAGTGCTTGCTGTCACAGCTCTTGCTATTTCCAGCTCTTTCACAAGCACGCTCCCTCTTCCCGTCCTCCTGGTGATGTTTCTTTATCCCACTGAGGACTGTTTTCCCCTCTGTCCACAGGGCTTGTGGCTGGAGGAGGTTCTGGCTGCCAGCACCCAGTTGCTTTCCTCTTCTCATTGCCCTTTTGATCCTTGGAGTCTGGATTTTCCCAGGAGAGCCAGCTGCTGCTAACTGTGCCTGGAGCTGCTGCCATGGAAAATGGGATTGACAGTGTTGCTGCAATGGAGCCGTTTCCTTGGATTTCCCACTCCTAATGATTCCTGTCTCTTTCCAGTGCCTTCTGCTGCTCAATTGTGTGCCCTCCTGCAGCTGGCAGGATGCTCTGCCTTTGCTCTTCCTTCTTCAGCTGGAACCAGGATGGGTTGCTCTGTCTTGGCCATCGCTGTCAAGCTGCACTCAGTGCTTCAGCTTCTCTGTGCTGGGCAGGGTGCATTTGGAGGGTGGCAGAGCCTGTGGAAATGGGGGTGGTGGGCTACCAGAGCCATCTCTAGTTGCTTTGGTGGACTTCTCCCACCCTCTGTTCTCTCCAGGGTGATACTTTTGATCTCTTAATCTTTTGCTTTCAGTAGTGGATACGTGACCTGGGAGGAGAGACCATACAGACAATCCTCACTTCCCCAGCCCCTCGGTGGGGTGGCTGGTGTCACAGCCCTGGGCAAAGCCCCATCCTGGTGCAGGGCTCAGGCACAGTCTCCTGCAGCTCCTTTCCTCAATTGCCAAACCCTTGCCTTGCCACAGGAACGTTTTTAAGTGTGGGGCAAGATCTGCCCCCATGATGGGACAAGGTTCTTGGGCATCTCGTGAGGAGCCAAGTGCCTCTGTGAGACAAGAGAAGAGCTTTGGGGCTTGGAGGTGCAGGAGGTTGCTGTGGTCCTCCCCATCTGCTGGGGCTGAGCGCAGGGGGAATTCACAAGTGATGGGACTGTTGGCAATGGCCCCAAACTGAAGCACTGACTTCTGGTAAAATACAGGTGGTTGAAGTGCTCTGAACATGTATCTGGCACCTTCTGGGAAATTCAAGTGTTGGGAAGGAAAAATAAGAAGTGATTGTCTGTTTTTGTTCCATCAGTCTGGGAATTTTTCTCGGCTGGAGAAGTTTGTTGGCCTTGAAATGGGAGGCCCAGGGGGATAGTTCCATGTGAGATTGTCTGGATACCTGCAGCTGAGGAGATCCTGTGGGATGGAATGGGCTGGGAACTGTCTAGGGTCTGCACAGCCTCCAGC